AACAATTTTTAAAACAGAGATCTGAAATTGATTGAAATGGATGATAACAGATTTGAATTCCAAACCGGTAAACTCAATTGGACATAATGAAGTGAGATCATACGCTTTGCCAGACAGATGATCTCTGGGATCTGAAATAATGCAGATTTTCCTTGCTGATTAAATGAGAGTGAGCCTAAAATGCCCAGAATCCAGAGAAACTACATAATCCATATAGTTTTAGCCATGCCTTTCAATATTGAAGGTGTTTATTTTTTTCTCTAGCAATATATAAATATATGACTCAATTTAACTCCCAAAGGGACTTTTTCCTTTCCTTGAACTTCCATAACCCTGAATAACATCTAGAGATGGGAATAGGGTCTTCTTTTGTTTCAATAGCCTTTCCCTTTCCCCCAAGCCTTTAATTAGTTCTGCCTTGCTTTTATGAAGACAACTACATTAAAAAGTCACATCCAATAGCAATAGCAGTAACATTTAGGCTTAAATACCAACCCATAGCAATAGAATAGAATAGAATAGAATAGAATAGAATGGGTCCTTGGAGGTCATCTAGTCCAACCCCCTGCTCAGGCAGGAAACCCTATACCATTCCAGACAAATGGCTGTCCAGTCTCTACTTAAAAACTTCCAGTGTTGGATTATTCATATCTTCTGGAGGCAAGTTGTTCCACTAGCTAATTGTTCTAACTTTACATGACTCTCTGAGTGGTTTACTATGTAAAAGCATTACAGGTAGTCCTCGACTTACAACAGTTGATTTAGTGACTGTTCAAAGTTATAACAGCACTGAAAAAAGTGACTTATGACCGTTTTTCACACTTATGACCATTGTGGCATCTCCATAGACATGTGATCAAAATTCAGACGCTTGGCAAATGGCATGGATTTATGACGGTTGCAGTGTCCCAGGGTCACCCAGGCTCAAACAAAGTCAATGGGGAAGCCAGATTTACTTAATAACCGTGCTGCTAACTTAACAACTGCAGTGATTCACTTAACAACTGTGGCAAGAAAGGTCATAAAATGGGGCAAAACACACAACAAATTCTCACTTAACAACTGAAATGTGAGGCTCAGTTGTGGTTGAAAACTATCTGTACTTATTTATTTATTTATTTTATTTATTTATTAAATTTCTACCCCGCCCTTCTCCCAGCGGACTCAGGGCGGCTTACAGCCATCTAAAACAGGTACATAATACAAAAATACTAATTTTAAAATGTAATTAAAATAGAATATTAAATTATTGGCCTTTTCTTTTTAAAATTATTTTAAAACCAAATTAAGATAACCCTTAGGNCCTCTCTGTGGGAGCGTATCGGCCGATGAGAGGTAATCTGAGGCAGAAGGCGGTCTCGGAGATAACCAGGTCCGATGCCATGGAGCGCTTTGAAGATGATAATCAACACCTTGAAGCGCACCCGGAAAGCCACCGGCAGCCAGTGCAGCTCGCGCAACAGCGGCGTTACATGGGAGCGACGAGTCACTCCCATCACCGCATATCACTTGCATATGGCCTCAACAATCTATGTCTTCATTTTACCAACCTCGGAAGGAGGGAAGTCTGAGTCAACCTTGAGGCCCCATCAGGATCAAACTCCAGACTGTGGGCAGAGTTTGTCTGCAATAATGCATTCTAATCACTATGCCACTTGGGCTCTGGTTTAGAAACTGGCTCTTTCTGCAATGTAATTAAAAACTAGCAAAATTAACTCTAATAGGGCAGATATGTTATGGATGGACAGCTATCCATTTCATAAACTTTCATGAAGATGTATGTTAAATGCTTGAGTATATTCATGAGTCTTTTACATATCTTAATGAGAAATGACAAATGGGATTTTTCCAATGTATAGACACATATAATATACACAGACAGACTTTGGCCGTTGCATTGAAGTCTGCTAAATTAAATTCCATTATATCAAAGGTCCACTATTCCTTAAAAGAGATTAACACACAAGAATTTCCATGGTAAAAGTCTACTAAAGAAAATGTGCATATCAGAATGATCTCACTTTCAAAAAAGAGTTCTTGGACAAATTACATTAACAGTCATGTGAAGTTGCATACTAAGTCTCCATATGGCACTAGGCATTGTGAATCTAAACAGTTGCAAAATGTGTCGTGATTTCTTAAAGCAGAAAATCAATTTTTAAAAAAATCTCATCCCTTTGGTTCCTATGGCAGTAACAGTGCCTGAGAATATTTTATGGGATGGAATAATTTTCCCAAGCAAGTCTGACAGATCCTGGTCTGATTTCTGAAGATGCATTTGGGAATGTTTCTTTCAAGCCCTGACTGCGTTTCCCTTTGTGTGTTGTTGTTTGTTTATTTTGGGGAGCACATGGGAATATATAAGATTGCTTCAGTTACTTAAACAGGTGAAGGTTCTACTCAGGGGTTTGTGTGCTCCGTGGCTGTGAGAACTCCATCTCCAAAATGACAACCACAATCTTTTTAACTCTGCTCCTCTTCCAAATGGTTGAAATGGGGAGAGCCAGACAATCTGCCATGTATTTTCACAGGAGAATACCTGGATATTTTTCACAAGCATATCTCTCAGTTTCACGTAGCAGCAGCTGAGCCGGAAGAAAGTTCCCCCAGGTATAACACAAGCCCAAGTAATCTTCCCTTGTCCCCTCAGGCATAATGAACAGAATGCATATGGTAATGTTAGAACTAAGATGCTTGGGGATGTGAATGTAGGTGTACTTTTGTGTGCAGATAATGCTTTCTTGTTGGCTGAGAACCCAAATGATTTGCAGAGAATATTAAGCAGATATTATGGGGCAATGAAGACAATGGATCTGAAAAGTAATGCATCACAGAGGAAAGAGTTGTGTTAGTAAGGAAAGTGCAAGTTACAAATGAATGGAAACAAAACTGCACTTAGTGTGTGCAAATGCTGGTATAAATGTAGTAGTACATGGGACATGGGGTAGACATATAGTAGTATGTAGGCAGTGGGTATGGTGTACATAAGGAGCATGTGTGGATCAAGAATAAATGTGGAAAGAAAAATGAATGATCCAGGATGGAAAAGTAAATTGAATGAATTTGATTATTTAAAGAGAATGAATGAAGATGGAATCACAAAACAAATATACGAAGGAAACGTAAATCAGTGGAGAGAAAAGAAAAGACTGAGAAATTCATGGTTGGATTGTACTGAAAAAAAAAAAGCAAAGATGGTGCATGAGAACAGAAAGGTATGGAGAAGGTTTTAGTATAAGGGGGTCCCTGCGGATTCTACTGCCAACCAAAAGGGATGGTGCTCATCTTCATTTCAAGACCATTGAGCCAGTGCTGTCTGAAGACATTTTCATGGTCATGTAGCCAGCACTGTTACCTTCCCATCTACTCACATTTGCATGCTTTCGAACTGCTAGTTGGCAGGAGCTGGGGCAAGGACAGGAGCTCACCCTGTCACGTAATGCTCAGATCTTGAACCTGGGCTGCCAGCTTTCCAGCCAACAAACCCCTCATCTTAATCATTGAGCCACCGCACTACCCTTCATTTTAATATAATGAGGCTGGTATTGGAATAATGTTAAAATATACCACATTTGAGAGCCTAATTGAGTGTAGTAATGAGGGCTTCAGGCTAGAAACTGGGAGTTCTAGCTCTGCCTTAAGCACCAAACCAGCTAGGTGACCTTGGGCCAGTCACTTTCTCTCAGCCCTAGGAAGCAGGCAATCGTAAACCATTTCTGAAATCTTGCCAAGAAAACTACACTGATTCGAAGGCACAATAATATATATTTTAAAAAATAGCTACAATTAGTCATATTTCCTTTGACCTTTCTTATCACACTGTTAATTTATTTAGTTTACTATTTCTTCTGTCTGCTTTCATGGGTTTTTACCCTGAAAATGAATAGTGTGATCTGGAAGTAGGTGTGCATGTATGTATGTATGTAAAATGTATTAACATAGTGTGAATACAAACATAATTAACAGAAATAACACCCTATTCACAGGAAACTTATTAAGCAAATATTTTAAAACCATTACATTAAAATAATTTGTACAACCCTCATCTAGCCTTTGAAACACAGTTATATATCAAGCACAAGAATCCTCTGTGGTAGCAAGTGGCTATTCTTGCCATCAAAGGAGCCGTGGTGATGCAGTGGTTAGAATGCAGTATTGCCGGCTAATTCTGCTGACTGCCGACTGCCAGCCAGTTCGATTCTCACCGGCTCCAGGTTGACTCAGCCTTCCATCCTTCCGAGGTTGGTAAAACGAGGAACAAGATTATTGGGGGCAATAGGAGGACTCTGTAAACTGCTTAGAGAGGGCGGTAAAGCATTATGAAGCAGTATAGAAGTTTAAGTGATATTGCTATAAAAAGTCAACACATTATCTCTATCCACTAATGAAACACCTACCATATTGTTCCAATATCTTATAGAGTGTGATAAAATATCACCTATATGTAATGGACTTTAAGCACTATTCTTATGTATGATATATGACTGTGTTCTGCAGATAGATAAAGGCTGTGTATTTATGACTACATAGATGCTTAATGAATGGGGAGAGACTCTAACACTACATGGGTGAAATTCAGAGGAATTTATAGAGAGGAGATGGAAAATCTATATGCTGTTCTGTGTCACCTTTCTAGGGTTTGATCAATGAGCTATGAATTGTCCTCTGTTTGAAGTGGAAGAACATTTCCATTTACAGAATGTTATGCAATCATAACAATGTAGTGGTATCGTTGTAGCTTGTATGCATACTACTTAACATGTATATGCATAAGCTGATGAATGCAAGTGGAGTCAATGGGAACAAAATTTTGTGAACACATATAAATGGCAAAATAATATTCATGGACATGGGTTTAGTCACATGTAAAGACAAACAGGTGATTCTCACACCAAGTAATGCGAATAAGCCAGACATCTATGGATACCATCTGCCTATTCATTCCTAATATATAGAAAAAAGAATATGCTAATCAATTATTCGTCTTTTTGTTTTTCTAGGCTGAAGTCTTTGATGTACAATATGGAAGTCCAGAAGATTTGCTCAGGATTAAACGGTTTACTAATGTGTCCAGCAAAATTGCTCTTTTGAAACTTGGACACATGCCTTTGCTATATAAGGTTAGTACTGGATTTTTTTCCCCAGTGCATTTTTTCTTTCTGGTTTTTGAATTGCAAGTAATAACTTGCAATCTGTGATGTGGTCTTGTAAAGCTGCATTTAATTGTTTCTTGTTTCTTTGGTCCCCAAAGTTATAAATGTTATAAACCCTTTCTCTAATGAACTGATTTTATTTTTGAAAAAAGAAAAAAAAAGATAGAAGAAAGAGGGCTTGGTTCTAATTTATCAAATGATTCCTATGATCAAATGGAGGCTTCAATGTATACCTCATTTGTATACCTCTGATACCTTAATCACTTTACTATATTTAATCTGTTGATCAAGAATTTAAAGAAGAGACAGTAACAGTTCAACTGACTTTGGTGGACAGTAGAAAGTTATCAAATGGTACCTGTTAGCATTGTATCTTTGTACATTGAGTACATTGAGTATCATAATACAGTATTCTAACCATCCAAAGGTAGTTTTGCATATTATTAACCAAGATGAAACATTTGCCTCCTTCTATAGTAAATAGAATTTAATTCAATTTTAGAACAGAAACTATTTATTTATTATCGTGGTTTTTAGTATCGCCTGTTCACCGCCCTGAGTCCCGTAAGGGAGATAGGGCGGTATATAAATTTAATAAATAAATAAATAAATAAATAAATAAATACTCTCCTTACAGAAGAGATTTTAGATTTTAGAATTAGATTTTAGAATTAGACATTGGAATCTGTGTCAGAATTGCAAAGAATACTTGATATCACTATTTATTATTTACATAGATTTTTGAATAACACTTATGACTATCTCATTTTCTATCCCAGCAAAACTTTGCTTCAAACATGTGCAATTAATCTTTGTTTTAAAACCTTCAAATGTTTGTTTCGTATATGTTCTATAGCCCAGAAAGAGTGTTGGAAATCCATTTCTGGAGATTAAACAATAAGTCACATTATTTATAGTTCTATTATTGCCATATTTGGGTTTTTTTAATTAGCATATGGCATTGTTACATTAGCAAGGAGACTATAATGCTAATACAGAGTAGTAGTTTGGCTCCCTGTTTACCAGCTCTGTTAGATACACACTTGCATGCTTTCCAAGATCCACTGCAGGAGGGCGAGCTAGCTTCACACCAGAAAGAAATATGAGCGGCTTTTCCTGCAGTGCCATCCAAGGCCCTTTTCCCTCCACTGAAGCCGCCTTGCAAATGGGTGCCGCAACCAGGAAGGTTCACAGCCAGCAATATCCTAACCATTGTAAGAAGTGCTGGCTCGTCTCCTTACCGAAGTGGTACCTATTTATCTTCTTGCATAGAACATGCTTTTGAACTGCAAGATGAGTAGAAGTTGAGGTGAGTGATGGGAGCTCACCCGCCACCCAGTGCTAGGACTTGAACCACTGGAGCAGAGACCATCTCCAGTGTCATTAAGCCATTGAGCTTCTAGATTTGGGGTTGAAATCCATAACATTTCAATATGACATTGCTGCTTGTCAAGAGTGCCTGTGTTCTACCTGGCTAAACTTCCTAAAGGATACACCAAGAAATCTAAACTGTGAGTATAGTCTTTAGATCACAACAGCTATTTCTGACTGTCCTCCCCACTTAGATACCTCTGATTTCAGGCACCCCTGCCATGGATGGAATAATAAGCAGGATAATAGCTTTAAGGCGCTAAAATGCCAATTAAGCTTTAGGAAAGGTATTGAACCCTATGTTCTTCATGACTACATGATGGTGCAGAATAATAAGAAAATCTATGGTAAAATGACAAGAAAATCTATGCTACAAAGGAGAGATGCAGCAATAGCAGATGATGTTTTTATTGCACATTTGTCTTTCTTCAAACATGGACTCATAGAGGGCTTATCTCCCATTTCAAATTTTTTCGCATCCCACTGCTTCTTCCATCTGTTTTCTTTTCGTAAAATAAATGTTAAGGAAGCAAAAATGGAAGAGCTGCACAACGTAGTTTGATTGATCACACTAGGAATTGAAACATCCAATGCACTCCATAAATGGGAGCAAAGGAGGAAACTGATCTGGGGAATATTAGCACTGAACAAAGCATTTTTTTGATAGGGCTCAATCTCAATTTCTGTCAGCTTTTCATTTTCCCAGTCATAAGTCTGCATTCATTTGAAAATTAAAAAAAAATAATCATAAAAAGATGAAACAGGAATGTCTTCATATCCTGGTGCTTTTATTTCTAAGGCACCATCTTGTTTTGCATGTTTTATATCTGCAATTATACATTGTTTTTTTTCTTAATGCATTATATTATTCTGTGTTATTTTCACGCAAATGTGATTGTATGAACTTTTCTCTAGTGACAACAATTTCATATACTTGAGAACCACAACATGTTACATGCAAAGTTCAGAGAAGTTTTGGAAAGTATTGAATTTTGGGGTACCTACTGGTATGGAAATGTGTAATTTTATGAGTATTACAAGATGACCCAAATAAATTTATCCCCAGTTCCTATTTGAGAGCAATTTCAGGTAGCTGTGCATTTTTTCCCTCTCTAAAAAAATTCCTTGCCTTTCAGAGTTATTCCTTGCCTTTCAGGACATTGCACAATTGAAACAAATTCATTTTCCCCCACACTTTGGTCTCAAGTGGCATCATTTTATAAAGTCCACAGGAGTAGAAAAGAAAAATAGCAAAGAATCTTTTTTTTAACAGCTGTGTAGTTAGAGATAGCCATGCTGTTTTCTATTGTTATGTGATGGGAGATCAGATTCTTCAACATCATTACTTATCCTGTTGGAGATTTAAACATGCCCCAAGGAGAAGCTCAGCATAACACGTTGTCTGTCTAACCTCCTCAAGTTTCAAGTTCTTACTAGGTTTGTTGGATTGTCTCCAAAAGTCGCCGCTTCCAGCTGTACTGAGAATAAAAGCTATAATAAAAGTGTAATGGAATAAAGTGGGGCAAAAAAGCAATAGATAGACAATGCATTGTGTACTTTTAAAGCCATTTAAAGATACTCATTGCTGTCCCTTTTAACCTATATCTTCGTTCATTGATGTAAGGGAATTTGCATGGCTTCCAGGTCTCTGCCAAACACTACTTTTTTTTTTTTTTTTTTTTACCCTGCAACCTTTTAATTCAGGATACAGTCGGGGCAACTGAGTGGAACTGAGCTGGATGCCCTTCCTGACTATGTAGAGTTTGCAGCAGATATTTTTCTCTTTGTGCCCTTACCTTGAATCGAACTCTCAACCTTCCAAACGGGAGGTGAGCGTCTTCACCACTAGGCCACTATGCTGCTATATAAAAATCATAACACTACTGATAGAAGAAAACAGTTGTAGCTCAGGGTGGAACTGAGGGGGTCTTTGTTCCTCTCTGAGCTTGATGGTTTTCTTGCAGACATTTTATTACCAAACTAGCTAACATCATCAGTGCTAGAAGGGAGTAGGGTTTATTAGTGGCTTGCCCTGTCAGTGTTGATGGGACTGTCCTTGGTGGTTCCTTGGTTAGGCTGTTTTTTAATATTAGCTTGTTTGTCTGCATTGGTAGTTCCTTCATTGAGTTACTGTTCACTTGATTTCTGGTCTAGTGTTAATCTTGGTGTCAATCTCTGCTCATATGGCTGTTAATTGCTGGTAAGGAGGTGTTTGGTCTTTTTGTCTCCTTTTGGGCTTTTTGATTGTTTCTTTTGTATGATATATAGATGCAGAGCACCTCCTTATGTCTAGGGGACCAGTTTGCTTTTGGATTTGGGTCCCCCTGAGACATCCTGGGCACATTGCATGGGAATGAAAACCCCACTGGAAATGGAAAAGTCCTCTGGGGTTAGGGTTGTGTTTCGGGTTAGGCTCCATGAAGTCTGAGCCCAAAACCAACTTTGTTGTACAACTCAGAGTGCTTTCTTAGGCTTAGGGGACCAGTTTGCTTTCCTGTCAGCCCCGCCAAGGGGTTCTAGGTACATTGCATGAGAAAACTCCATTGGAAATGGGGAAAATCTTCTAGGGTTAGGGTTAGGGTTAGCCCTCCATGGGGTCTGGCCCCACAACCAAAGTTGTAATTCAAGATAGAGCTTATCCTTATGGCTAGGGGTCAGTGTGATTTCCAGTCAGCCCCCAAGATGTCCTCTGGGAAAACTCCATTGAAAAAATCCTCTGGGATTAGGAGTAGGGTTTGGCCTACACTGTAAAATGTATAACAGTACCTTACATAAAAAATGTCTCAGAAATTACCTACAAACTACTACAACCACATGGCATTATGTAGCACACAAATCAACTAAAGCCTTCCAAAATAGCCTAAGTAACCAAAAATCCCGGCAGTCCCAGAAGGAAAAAAAACAAAACAGAGTTATCTATAGCATACAGTACAAGCCACCATGTAGGACAAACCAGCAGAAGACTAACAGAGCACATTCATGAATACCAACTAGCAGTCAGAAGAGATGAATGAAAATTCTTTAATTTCACAACACATGGACACACTCAACCATAGTTTCAACTGGGAAACTGTGAGCATAGAAAGTAACTATTAAAAAAAATCCTGCTACACATGATTTTAGTCAATGGCTGAGAACTGATGTGAAGACAATAGTCAAATATGGATGTGACATCACAAATATTAGAAGTTTCAGAATATCATTCTTTTGTCAGAAATTGCTCTACTATCCAAATAGAATCTACAAATACTGTATGTTCCAGGTCCATGTTTTAATCACGTCATAGAAATGAATAATCATGAAGGAACTCTGATTTGAAAATTGGTTTTATAATGGCTTATATAGAACATCAGTATAGGATTGTGGGCATATATACATTACTTTAATGATGAATAACTAAATTTCATGGATATCATATTTTAGTTCACTGAGTTATTTGGTAACAAGTAACATATTGTCCAGATAGCTGAATTTGGCAGATCATGAGAAAGTTGAATTGATAGTTCTGTTTCATATTGATCATCACCGAATCCTAAGGAAATAAATTCCCTGAACATTTCATTTTCATTTTACTGTCAATAAAACTTCATGGCCTCATAGTAACCGGGAGTCAAATTTAATTCAACAACTTTTAATGTATTACTTACAGCATTTCCCCAAAGATTATTATATTGCATTTTCTCGGAGATGAAAAAAGATATTTTAACATCCTCAAAAGACATATATCTAGCACACATACAGTATATTCCGCATATCCCTTTAAT